ACATGGGTCCATCACCTCAGACCTGAACACGAAGAAACAGTCAGAACAATAAAAAAGATTCCGATATTAGCTATATTTCCAATTATTGAAATTATTATCTATTAAAAAGAATATAAATTCCTGCTTTAAATTGTGACAATAATGTAAGCTCAAACTGTAGAGTTTAATAAAATTGTGCGTACAAATTATACAAAATGTCACTTCTTAAATACACTTCTAATGAGCCGCGTAGAATTTTTTTGTTCTGTATATCTTTTTTTTCAATTGAAATCAGGAGCCCAATCAGTCTATCATCTGAATCCGAGCACTTCCGATAGCTCAAAGGCCAACTCGCAGTCGACAAACCCACCCAGCCACAGAAATGGCAGCCCTAGAGCACAATGCAACACCCATTTACATTGTCTCATATCTTGCAGACAATCAGCGCACACACACACACACACAAACACACACACTCCTTGCAGTTCCGTGAAGTTCTTTTTTTGGCATTGGGGGCATTTCCCATTTCCTTGCGCCATTGGCAACAAACAGAAAAAAATCAACGTCGCCTGCAATGCTTAGCCAGTGTTGCAGTTTGGCTTTATAGAGCGGGAGTTAAATTGTCCGTGAAGGATTTATTTGCCCGAAATTATGATTTATAAGGTCAGTCCGCCAGCAGCACTCACAACTTCCTCGCAGACTCGCAGACACACACACACACTCTCACACTCACACTCGCACACACACAGAGAGCCATGTACACGCATCAAATCACAGCCTTTTGGTAGTCGTGCCACTTTCTTTATTGTTTCTGGCCATTGACCTCAATCCTTAGTGGGCCACCAGAGGTCGTCTGCGTTAGCGTCGGCCCTGCTGAGCTTTTGGTTTCAGTTACCGGCTCCGGCTCCGGCCCCATTGCCGTGCGAGGAAAAATTGCACGGCGAAATTGTAAATTGAATTATGCAATGCTTTTACCTGCAGGTGAAATCTTTGTGGCGAAGCCAGAGTGGAAAGAATGCGAATCGCCAGCTCAGTGAGGATGCGAGAGCGCATTTAATTGAAAAACTGTTTGCTGCATCGTCACAGCATCGTAAATTTCAGAAGCATTAAGGCGTCCGGTATTTAGAAAATGTTAAATGGTATTGCGCCCAAGTTTTTCCATTTTTCTTGGCACAGCTTTATTGTTAGTTTTTATTGGTGAGCATAAATCGCTTTCTCCTCTAATATCAGTTGTTGGTAGTTAGTTATCTGGCCAATTAATTAATTAATATATGTATATTAAGAGAGACAATGCCAAAATTGAATAGCGTTGGCATATTTGTATTTTTTATTTATTTTTTTCATTTTATCGACTGCTCTGCAGTTTTCGTATGTAAGTACCTAAAGCAGACTAATTATTTATTTATTTATTTTTATTTCATTTATTTATTTATAAGCCATATCTTAGATTTATAAGACATTATTTTAATTTTAATTGATTTTTCCGACATAGGCTTTAGTAGCCTATATAGCTTTTATTATAACTTTTGAATTGCTCTACAAATGACGAAAAAAATTATATAAAAATTATGAAAAAACAAGTTTTTAATAGATTGTACTATATATTTTAGCGTTCCTTTAATATCTAGTTGTAGTTATTATTTATTCAGCGACCTACTAGTACTACTTCTTTTATAAGTAGAAATCCCTATTTGAAAGATCTTTACAGACTTTCTGGGAAGGTTAAGGATATTATCCTGCTCTTCTATATGAAAACCGCTTACTTGGTCTTCTCTGTTCTTCTTCTGCTTAAAAATTTAGGTACATTTTTGTGTTACAAAGTAAAATTTATTTCCTCTAGCGTCAGTTTTTCGTACTACACACACATACTTGTAATAAATACTGCAGCGTTTTCTAGCGGCACTTTTGCAAGTATATTTTTCCACGCCATCTGTTGGTCCTTAGATGTGTTTCCTTAAAATTTTAAAGCATACAGTAACCAAGCTAAATGACATTGATGAAAGTTGCACGTTTGAAGGCAGCAATTGAGAGAAAAAGCTGTGAAGCTGTGGCAGAAAGAAAGCTTGCAAAAGTTTCAAATTCAATCTCGGATATACATACATATCCACACATAATTTCGACGAGCTTTTTTAGCTCGAAAGCATGATTTGGTGCTGCCACACCTACTGTCATTGGTTAAGAAAATAATTTGGGAACTTTTAATGCGGAAATATCCTTTGTTTCGGTAATAACTAAAAAAGGTGAGTGCTACACAACATCTTGATTTTCTCTTGCCGTGAAAAAAATAAGTGCGGGTAACAAGTTTTTTATTTGTAACAGCGAGCTTTTATTTTATTGCGTAGAATTTCAACTCCAACTTATTTTTTTTAATAATGCATGCCGCATTTTAGCTTAAGTTTACAGTAAAAATAAGTCATAATTATTTTATGTTAATATTATAGTTCTTATGTTTAATAATAGTAGTTTAATCTTACATACTGTAATTCATTTGGGCCAATATATTTTAAAGCCAAGTTGTATACCACAAAAGAATTGGGATGACTTAGTTCTTATAAAAAAATTAAAATAAGGCGTCTCGAGTCGATCCGAGTTGAACTTAAATCTAGAACCAGAACAGTAATAAAGCTAGAAAGTCCTAAATAAACATGTGATTGCGCCAAAAAATTAGCAACAAAAGCAAACAAACAAAAGCGAAAGCAGTGACGTATGTATACTCTAGAGAGATATGGCGATCATGAGCTGAGAGATCCAAGAGTGTTTGCTAATAAAATTGTAGCTTTCCTTACTTACTTATTAGATGTTTTTATTCGTGGTTTTAACAAATGTTTTTGAACGATTTGAAGATATTTTGCAAATACACTGAAACTCACCAGAAAATTTTCCTTTAAAATGAAGTAATTGAGAGCATGGGTTTGAATTGAAACACTGAAACTCACCAGAAAATTTTCCTTTAAAATGAAGTAATTGAGAGCATGGGTTTGAATTGTAGTTGTCCTTCAGTTTGTTTGAAATTTTTTTCTATTTAATAAACTAAAGAAAGTTCTAATAATATTTATATATACAAGTACTTAACAAAAAAACTCGTGGATAATTTGGAATGAATGCTTTCCGAATACAGCATTTCGCGAATCCGCTTCTTGGCGTACTTGGCGTAAAATCGTTTCGCTTATAACTTTACTTAGAAAGAACAAATTTTGATGAAATTGAAAACCGAGATGGAGACTTACATACATACATATGTACATACATAGTTGTATTTATTTCGAATGTATCTTTAAAACTATAAAAAAAAAAAAAAATAATAATATAAATTGACCCTTTTTTTCCTTCGTATAAAGGCTATGAAAATACCCACAATAAGAATTTTGCATTTTAAGTTCATTTCAATTTTAAGTTTTCAATTTATTTTCTTTTTTTGCATATATACAACATTTTAACATTTTTAAATTAGTTTTAATCCTTTTAAACTTTTTTTAAAATTAATCTAAAAGTTAAATCTAATTGTATATGAGCAAACAAAAAATAAAAAAACAGGGAACATACGAGTGTAAACAAATTTTACTCATATTCGGGTGTACACATATTTAAATATAATTGTACAGGTTGTCTATAAGTGGAGGCGTTTAAGCAGATCATCTGGATGGCATATTTTCTTCTTTTTCTTGTTCACAATGTTATTTGGAGCTTTAAATCTCAAAATTAATTTAATGACAGTTTTCATCAAACAAAAATTTAAACATTATTACATATTTGTTTTTTTTTTTATAAAACTTATTGTACGGTGGTGCTGATATCATAATATCATTTAGACATTTACATTTATCGTCCGCTTTATATAATATGCTAAATCCAGGCAGATTTTCTCTTCTTGTTTCAAATGTTAGCGCATTTGGTTGAAGCTTTCAATTTCAGAATTACTTGTAATTTAGTGACTAGTTATTATCAAGCAAATAATAAAACATTTATATCTGCATTTTTATAAAGCTTATTTATATTTATCGGCCGCTTTACATAATGTGCTAAATCTAGGCATGTTTCCATCACGAAAACGTAGCTCCAGAAAAATGCCTCTTAACATTCGCATTCACACATTTGGAATACCACAGGGGAACCACATAGTCAGAGACCCCCTTACATGCCATGCCTACTAGCCAGCCCCTTTAAACAACGGTTATTTCTCTCCAATGGCTTCTCCTTCAATCGGATTCTCTCCCCGTTCGCCACATGCGCTCTCTCGGCCATTTCCATAGTACCAGAATTGACCGTTTGGCGCTAGTGTTTCCGCACTCGTGACGAGCTCAAATGCTGCCGACTTCGTGAGGACGACGAGTATGGCACGAGTGTGTGGCATGTGGCTCTGGCTGAGCCTGTTTTTGGATGCCTGAAGTGGCGAATTTCCATGTCAGTTCACGTTCGATATTTGTGTTGTTTGGTAACGGTAAACGGGCGCCCTTAAAGCCAAACGCAAGCAAGCAAGCAAGCGAGCGAGCGCGTCGCGTTTTCTACCCAAAAATTGTACTGAACAACAAATTTTTTGTGTGGTGTCTACGTGTGTGAGTTTGTTGGTATTTGCGCGTGAGTGTGTGTACGTGTATGCGTGTGTGTATTGTGCCGGGCCCAATCGAGGATATAAGGATATGCTGTTTAGGATTTATGCATTGATGACAAGGCGCGCTTAAAACACAGGGGCTTTGAAATTAGTGCGCTAGTCGAGCCAGCAACGCCCAAAGCAAGTGACAAGTGTGCGAAACGAGGAAGTTGCCTCGATGCAGCATCGGCTTAAGGATCCTCTGACCAAGCCAGATTACGTTCACATGTGCATGTGAGGCTCTGCGTGCGTGTATAAGTGTGTGTGCGTGTGTGTGTATAAGTGGGCTTGTACGTCACAGGCGCCAAAGCGTCCGGCCAGCCTACAAAGGCTGCCTGCCAGCCTAGTTTATGCGAGTATTTGAATTGGCATAAGTTTGTGTTCGCGTGTGCTTGTGTTTGTCTTGCAAGCATTTAAAATTTTCGAACGTGCCGACAAAAGCAGAAAAAGAAGAGGAGCCGACTAAAATTTAAGTCAAAGCAGAGGCAAGGAAATAAATAAATGTAAAGGCACGGCAACGCATTTGTGTAAAAAGTGTAAAATACAAGTACAAGGCGAAAAAGTTGCCTGAAAACGCCTGAAAATAGAAAATAAGAAAACACACCACAACAGCAGCAACAACAACAGTAGTAGGGCCAGCATCAGCAAATAAAATAATTCAAGTAAATTAAATTTTCGCACTGTGTCTGCTGTCTGCGTGTGTGTGAGTGTGACCCGCGTGTTGGTGCGGGTGTTAAAATCAAGGAGATCAAGTGAAGTGTGACAAAGAAATTTCCAGCAAATTGCAAAATCAGAGCGACAGAAATTCCACGCAGGCCTCTTAAACAGTCCACAATAAACGGTAATTGAGTCATAAATCATGTATAATTAAAGCAGCCATTTGGTCATTCGCTCCGCCAGATTAAACTTGAAATGGAATTTTTGATTTCATCAAAGCTAAGAGCGGCCCGGCCTCACTTGTTATTTGGCTACTCGCCATTAACTTTTCCCGGCCTGCCATCCCCTCAAAAGTGGCGCCAGTGTTTGCCCAATTTAGGGAGCTTCAGCCCATAAAAGGGAGGGGGGGGGGGGTGGGAGGAGGACAAACAAAAACGCGAGCCGCAACATCAAAACGATTTGACACAAACACACACACACACACCGTTGGCAATCAGCAGCAAATCAAATTCTACGATTGCTAATCCATCATCATATACGTAGCGGGCGGGCGAACGGATCGAAAGTAGGCTATAGCTATAGCGGCAAAATAGCAGCCACTGTCGATGTGTTGTTACGTGCCGTGTTAGCTTTTCAAGCCCAATTGATTGATTAGTTGCAGATTTGCAGGCAAGCACCTTGGGCGCCATGTCGTGGACAGTGCGGCACAAAGTACCGCCAAGTGTTCGCGCTGCGCCCCAAAAACAGTCAACCACTCTTTATGCCAAAGTCCACTCGAAGAAAAAGGGTAGCATTGTCGAAGGACATGACTAAGTGCAACAGAGCCAATTGGCCAAAAAGTTTGCTTTCGAACGAAATGTTTTCTATGCAATTGGAAAAGTTTCTAGTACCTTGAATACGCAGATTGGACGCATATAACTTTTTCCTCCTTTTTAAAAACTGTATTTGTTCGCTTTAATATATAATGCATACTTTATTGGAAACATTTTGTTTATGAATTGTTAAATCAGAAACAGAATTGGAGCTGCGCACACTACTTCCTATAAAGTTTGGCTTTTCTTCAAAAATTCAGATTTTTACAAGTTTTTCGGAAACATTTCGAACTTGTCCTTAAAACGAATCAACTGAAATGATGTCGCGTACATACGAAATAAGAATCAAATGCAAATTACTTTTGCTGATAAAAATGTTATTTGCTTTGTGTAATAAAATACGAATTCAATGTCGATTGAAAACAAATACAGCTTCAACATTTGAAAAATCACTTAAAAGCAATGAATAATGTAATTTTCATATCAAACGAATAATTTACATGACTTCTTCTGCCTGACACTTCGCCAGAGAAGTAAATTATCTTTCGACAGCTTTTAATTAATTATACATAAGCTGCATCAAAAATGTAAATATTTTAAAACTTTTTAATTCATAATTTTTGGAAAATGTTTCACCCAAACAAATATATCTGATGAATGCCTTAAGCTGGGAGTTGGCTTGTTTTTAGAAAAGAATGACAAGCAAAGTAGTGTCTAAAGTGCTTAAATTAATTTAATTTAAAGGCAAGTTCACACACTAAGTTGTGCTATGTTTTCACTTTCGTTGCAGTTAATTTTTAGATATCAAAACTATATACACTTTCTAAGATAATCAGTGAAATATTTTTATAAAAAACTTATTGCAAGCCATTTTTTGTATATCTCTGATATGATTCATGCCTAATGAAAACAGAAATTAAAATTAAATAAAATGCTGCTGCCGAAATTCAAGCGTAAAAAGGCAATTTTCCACCATTTTATTAATTATATTTTTTCCTCGGCGCAATATAAGTATTTTTTTTACAAATCACAGATTGCAGGATTCATTTTCATTTCCGCCTCTTTTATGCACAGATAATTTTTTTCAAATAATATAATTATTTTCTTGGTGTGTAATTTTGCCAAATTGGCAATTTGCTGTGTCGTTTGAGTGTCAGTCAGTTATCCTTATTTTTTTTCGCCATCATTGTGGAGTGTTATTGATAACAACAATCGACGCAATTAGCTTGCAAAGCAAAAAAGCGCTGACCTCACAATGAACCATGTCAATCATTGTTGTTACATTTCACTTTTGCGCTTGATTGAACTTGTTGACATGATATATTTATATATTTGCGTCTACGGCTGCTATGCTGGCGGGGAGTGGGGGGAGAGGGGCAAGGAATTCAGCCGAAGTCGATGATGAATGGGCAGTATGAGTGGCGAAGAATGAGTTTTTTGTGCAGCTCATGCATACTACATACCCCACTAAACTGTCTACTCATGCAAGCTGTGCGTACCACAAGTTCAGCTCTGGCATTTATTTATTTATGTCATAGCCTTGGCAACCATCACCATGACCACCACACACACACACACACACATACACACACACAGTCACACACTCTCAAGTACACGTGTACATGTAAATTTCTAGGGCGAGGCAAAGCATGTGCGAAGCATCAATCAGGAGCTGCGCTCTGAAGAGCTGCTCATGGACTCGTTCTACCGCACGCACTTCACTTTTAATAAAATATTTATTTATTTTTATGCGAAAATAATACGCACACATTAACAGTAAAGCAATTGCCCACGCGATATTGCGGCCAAAGGCATGATAGCCACACAACTTGCCGGCCATTGTAATTATTTGTTGAGCCGGAAATGCCTGAGGAGGTCTAATGCCAACTTCGTTGCCTACTTAGTAGTTGCTGTGATTAATAATGTGCAATTGTACAGTCGAAGCTGAATAAGTTGAACGTTCATGCCTAGCAGAGTACAGACGACCTAATAGTTATATAAATTCCAATATGAGAATCTTTGAGTCCACCGAACTAATTCACTTTTGTTTTATTTTGTTCAAATGTTCTGCTTTTGAAAACGAAATTCCAAAGTCAAAAAAAAAACATATTTTAAGTCTTCTATTTAAGCTATAAATATCTGAGAAATATGGAGTTTGTGTCTTTCTGTCATTATGTGCCTTCAAATATAAATAGTTAATATTATATGAGAGTTTTCTAATCAAATTTATTATATATGTGTTAACTGACTTATTACAATATCTAGTAAATATTACTTTAATTTAAATTATCCATACCTATAAGCAGATACAGCAATAAGAAATACAAGTACATAGTTCTACAGTAGAATATCTTTGACATTTTCAGAATTAAGAGGCAAGCAAACTGGCTCCAAGAAGAGATAATTTCCTTTTTTAGTAAATTGCATTCATTACATTTCCTTAAATAAAATATCTGCACTCTCAATATAAACAACACAAATGTAATTAATCGTACTAGATTCCTTATTTCCTAGATAGTCTGTGTCATAGCTAAAAGTATTGTGACAGATAAACTATTCCCTTAAAAGTGTCTTGCATTACGACTTCGATGTCAAAACTTTGCGAAGATATGACAACACCTGGTCCGAGCACCATCACAGGTTTGACTGTGAAAGGCGTTTAACGGGTAGTTTGGAAGAAGAAAAAAGAAGAAAAGAATATCGAGAGCAAGCCCGCAGCGCAGCTTAGGTAGAGCATGTGGCACATTTGATTGATTACAACATTTTGTCGCACTAATGCCGACTCCGACGTTGGTGTTGATGCTTGTCCTGGTGTTGGAGCTGGCAGCAACAACGTGTACAAATAAGCTTTTGATAAGTTTACGTACGCTTAACTCAACACTAAAGATTATTTGTGCTTAAGGGAAACAGCCCGTCGGCCGTTGAAGGCTGGGCGGGCCTACTGTGCTGTGCTGTGCTGCGTTGAAACCGTCCGGTTGGACTTACAACTTGACTTTGCCACTTGAAAGCTAATCAACAATTAATGAGCAATTAATATGCAATTTTGCCTCACTTAGTTTTATGAGTGACTGAATGCGAAGGGGAAAGTGTACGCACGAGGCGTGAGGGACAATCTGTGGCATTTGTGTAATCAGGCATCAGAATCATTTAACAAATATTGTATACGCCACGGGGGTCGTGGCTGATCTGTTGATAAATTTGTGCAATGCAGCAACTTCAAATTGAGTTTCCGTATTTTTAATTATATGTTAAATCAAGCATTAATTACGTTTCCCGCAAATATCACAATAAATTGTATTAAAGCCCATGAAATTTAATTACTCCCGAAAAATGTATGTGAATACCAAATTGAGTGAAAGACTTGTGGCTTATTACACATTAATTAAAAACGCCAAATAGCACTCACAGCGATTACTGCCACAAATGCAAATGTTTGCTGAACGAATTAGGCAATAATCTCTCTAATTTTACATACATAACAAATAAAAACATGCATAATTAAGCATTAATAGAGTACTAATATATTGTCATGGCTAAAACTTAAAATGAATTCTCAAAACTCCTACCTAAGAAACAGTTAGAGGATTACTTTTTCTATGACATGTTTTTTTCTATTTATATATAATCGTATTAATATAAAAATATATTTTGTTTAAGAAAGGATTAAACACATTGAAATTCTTCTTCTAGAATACTATACCAATAATTTATTTTATTTTATTTAATAAATCAACAATTTTTTCTGTCGATACATATGACAATAACTATGATTTCTGTTATATTATAATATTACAAATTAAAATGAAGATATGTAATAATATTACGTTATAATTTCAACTTAAAAGATCAGCAAGCCTAAGAAATAATTGTACAATAACATCTGACTTTTTTCCGTAAATGAATATTGAATTAATTATGGTAATATTTAATTAATTACCAGCTTAATTAAACAGGCTACTATAAAACAAATCCATTTACCAACAACTGTAGCGTCAAATCAATTGATGCTGATAAATGAGTCAGTTTTTTCGTATAAACATTAAAAGTGGTTGCCATATAAACCAATGGTAGAAAAAATGCACGTCTAATGTGGTCGGGGATAGAAATGCATATATTTACAAAATATATTGCTGAAATCAAATAAAAGAAGAAAAATTGTTAATATTAGTTTCACATTGCATAACAATAACTTAACGACGTCTGCTTGTAGCCCTTTTCTATATACATATATTTTTCTCTAGGTATGCCATTACCTTTGCTACTCTGTCAATGGCAGCTTGATAAATAATATGCCATATATATTTATATAATATTTATATTTGATATCATAAATAATTACCTTGTGTGCGTATAGAGTTTCCCGATTAATCAT